ACCAAACCGAATCCAAAAAGATGAAGAAGTAGACCAAACTGAATCCAAAATGATGAAGAAGTAGACCAAACCGAATCCAAAATGATGAAGAAGTAGACGAAACCGACTCTGAAATGATAAGAAGGTAGACCAAACAAAATTCACATTTGTCAACGACCGAGAGGTGGATAACCCGAAAAGGTCGATTGCGTTGCACATCGTGAAACAGCCTGTATAATCCGAGCGCATGAAAGTGCATGCACGGCGCGGCTACCGCGTGGGCGTCGGGAGGAACAGAGGCGTCGAATCGTCGTGGAAGGAATTACGATCCCTCTTCCTCCGTCCTCTTCGAGATGGGCCACACGTACATAGGTATTCGGCGGCGCTCCCGCGCGTGTTCTACGCGCATCCGGCTCGCATTTCCCCGCGTGAAAACCGAAGTAGATAATAATAACTGGAAAAAGGGGGTTCTCGTTCGGTCGACCCACAAATTTCGTTTATATTCTACTAAAATTCTCAAGATATTCGTCGCTTTATTGGTACCGTTATATTTTTCGCCGCGACGGGACGCGCGCGCGCGCGCGCGCACGCGTTTCGAAACTTCCGACGTGCGCGGAGAATCTTCCGCGGCTGTATTTCTTCCTTGTTTCGATGTATTCTCGTCCGACGGGTGCCGAACGAGTGAGGTCTTTGAACTGTTATTACGAGTACAGTCGACCCCCATATAACACGGGTTCGTATAGCACGACGTAAAAATTGTAGAAATGCTCGTATAACACGGTACGTAATTTACCATTTTCATATTCAAATGGAAACTATCACATGCTGTGTCTTTAGTATACATGTTACATTTTTTATGATAAATAATTTAGGATAATCATTTTATAAATAATATTCATGAATATTTATTTATGTTCATATGCATATATAATTCATACATCGTGCCCACGTGTAGAAAAGAGTCACAAGATGAGAACATGACATTTTTCAGGGGAGTGAATAGAAACATACACGGTGTCTCACGTAACATTTACCACGATTTTTCGAGTATAGGCGATCTGACGAAAAAGTATTTTAAATAAAAGTTGATCAGTTTTAATTGGCTACGTGTTACAAATTTTTTCAGAAAATGTTCTGGATAAAGTAGTCATGGTGACCTTCATTTTTTGAAATGGTATTACATATTTTTGATTTCATCATAGTATTGTACCTCATGTCAAGACGAGTTTATCCACCTAGTACACTGACCTTGAAATAACCTTGAAATAAACGGAAGAATAAAAGGAACCACTGGGCAAGGGTTTCAAACCTTGCCGAATATAGAAGACAGGTTCCGTAATCTTAACAAAAGTATAATTTGCATTCTGAAGTTATTTGAGCAGATAAAAAATTCTGATCACAGTACGTAGATTTCCCTTGTCAGATATTCAAAAGCTAGTTCCACTTGCAAATGGGCAAAGTCAAAGCCCTTGATGCCTAATCGATAACGCAATCCTAAACCACAGCTCAGAAACTGATCTGTGTATAATATGCACTGCATATAATTCTATCCTTTTTCCCTTAATTACCGTAATCTTTATCCTCATAAATGTTACCAATAACGTACACAAGTCTATCTTCTAATAAAACCGGTATTCCTCCAGTATATATAAATAAAGAAAGATAAAAAGGGTATACGATTTTATAGAATCAATATATCGATGCAAATAAATCAAAACTTTATCAACCGTCGGGATTATCCTAGTTCATTGGCTAAAGATAACGGCACGGACTCGAACTCGAACGAATAAATTGAATCACAACACGCCCGAAGGGGAGACACACCCGCCGAAATCCCGGGGATTCCGCGTCCCCTCGTTCAGGGATAAACATTATTTTTCTTCAATTATCTACGGCCGGGGACCTGGAGTGCCGGTGAAGAGAATAAGTAAAGGGGCATAGCGTTGTATTCCAAATGATCACGCGACGGCATGTGGATTTTTTATCGGCTCGCGAACCGTGAAGAGGAAACGCTAGACAACCGGAGCCAACGAGAGGGAGGCAAATTAGGTATCGTCTTGGACGATGGCCACACCTCTTGCACTCTTCGGTCGTGACAGCCGTCGTGCCACACTGCCGCATCTAAATACCGGAACGCACGATTCATTAACTTCGATGGACGATCCTGGGTAACCTATAGGGGAACATTTTATAATTTCCATAATAACTCACCGTACGTCGATTCGTAAAATGCTAACGACGACATTATTTACGATGTTCAAGGTGTAAACCCATTCGCGTTATACGACGACCAGTACTCGCAGGAACTTATTATGGTACAGACATCGTGTCACGAGCTCAGCTCGCAACGCTGCATTGCTCGATATAAATTCCTATAGTTAAATGCGTAGATCCCTCACAGAAAAGAAAGAAAATGTAAGTAAAGGGTGTGGTGCGTGCTACAGTGGTGAAGAAGAGAAAGTTGTTGGCAATGCAAAAAGTGCGGTTTTGCTCTTTATTTAAAAGAATGTTTTGAGATCTATCATACTCCACAATCATACTAAGGCAACAAGCATACAAAGAGTATTTAAATATGATTCCTCAGTCAACTCTGAAGGTACATAAATATGACACTAATGATCCGATGGTATTACATGGGTTAATTATACCAAGCTCATTCGGATATGATACTTCAGTCAGCTTTAAAGGTACTTATGATGCAAATGGGTTAATAAAAATGTGGGACACTTTCGCAGGATGGCTTCTAGACGTCAAATTGAGACCAAAGTCAGGAATGACGAAACTGCGTTCCAGGCTTCGTTTCTTAGTTATTAGCTGTAGAAAATACGGGCGAAATACACGTGAAATACGTCTGGTGCGATAAGTTACATTACTCGAATAGCCTATTGCTAGCTGATACACGGGTTCAATCGATGATCTAGCGAAACTTACTATCATCCTGTGCACACTGGTTAAGTAAATTCCAGAATTATGTATTGCAGCCACTGTGGCTGTTAATACCATGTGTAATTCCTGGAAGTTTTGTTATTTAATTGAAACTGAGCATTAGTATCGTACGCAAAAGATGTCAGTTTCATAGACTTATGAATAGAGTGCGGATTTTTATGTAAAATCACATTTTCTAATGTAATTCTTGACGAAAACAGCAAAGGTAGGAATTTATTTCTTCTCTTAAATATCTTGTTGGGTTCAGAATAAAGTAGAAAATACATTGCATCTGACGAAAGTTTGTTCTCTTTGGTATTACACAAAGCCCTATTGGCTCTAAATGCATAAAATCCGAGGTGTACTTATGAGTATGTTTCCTTGGATTAAGTGGAACAATAGGAGCCCACACGGTCGCGATCCTCTAATTCTTTTGAGCAATGTAGCTCTTATTCGATCGATAAACGATTAATTTCGTGTATTCATGAAACTTCAGATCCGATTCCATCGACTTCCACAGATTTTCTATTTTGTAACATTAATTCTTAAGTCAAATACGTTCTAAACAGCAGAAAAAATTGTCTTTCTCTACCTCCATTTAGAGACGTTACGTACAGTGAGTGTAAAAAGTATTCGCACACCCTTTAAAACGGAACAACTCTTTTGAAATTGGTCCAAATGACTTGAGTTTTTTTTGCGAAGTTAGAGACATTAATTTACTAAATGATGTGAACAAAAATTTGAAAAAGTTGCTATTGGTGCGAATCGTGAAGAAAATATTAAAGGTCGTGTTTTACAACTTTTTAATCTGAGGCTATAATGAAAATTTAATAAATACATATCGAAGATTTATATTAGTTATGTACATACTGAAACTTTCATTGAAATCGTATAATACAGAAACGAGCGACAGACATCAAAAGATGTGAGAATTGTTAGATTTACTACAGTTGTAGATCGAAAGTCGGGAAAAACTGTGATTTTCAACATTTTTAATCGTTTGTATCTCGTAGCAACGTTAACCGATTTTGATGAAATTTTCAACACGTATATAACTAACATAAATCTTCGATATGTATTTATTAAATTTCCATTATAGCCTCAGATTAAAAAGTTGTAAAACACGACCTTTAATATTTTCTTCGCGATTCGGACCAATTGCAACTTTTTCAAATTTTTATTTCACATCATTTAGTAAATTAATGTCTCCAACTTCACAAAAAAACTCAAGTCATTTGGACCAATTTTAAAAGAGTTGTTCCTTCTTAAAGGCTGTATGAATACTTTTTACATTCACTGTATCATTAAGGTACACATAAAAATATTTATACAAGATGCCTATTTTTTATGATTCAGTAAGAACCTCGGGTCTGAATGCGTTATTGGTAATCGAGGGCTAACCTGATACCACCGATCGAACAAGAAAAATGAATGTATTAGGAGTACCAGTAAGTAATCCACTATTTTTCTGCGAAAGATCTTTGTTTCGCAATCATTCAAAACCCAGTGCTGTCTCAACAATATTCGTATATTTCTTTCCATCATTCTCCACCATTCTGGCTAAACAGAAGATCAGGAAAGTATTCCGAGTATAAGCTGCAATTGCAGTGTATTGAAACCATAGTAGATTACCTATCGGTACATTTAATATTAATTAAAATCGAAGGGGAGGGGGGTAACGGTGTCAAAGGCGTCAAGGAAACCGGCTGGCGTCAGCCAATTGGAAACGAAAGGTACTCTCTTGGGTACGTTTTATCGGAACAGAGAGAGAAAGAGAGGGAGGTTTAGTGATTCGTCAGGGTTGCAGCGGCGTGTCGAAACCCACCAATGAAAGAACACACTCCTCGGGCCTGGATGATCGGCCGAAAATAAGCTGCAATTTTCTAGACGAGTGCACACTCGCGTCTGCTCTCGTAATTTCAGACACCCGCGTGTGTGTATGCCAGCCGACAGAGAAAGAAAGAGGGAGAAAGAGCGACGGGACAGCATTGGGACAGAGGAGGAAAGAGAGCACGAAGTGGAGGTTGGGGATGGTGGGGCCAAAGGGACGATCCGACAAATTGTGGGGAGATTAAGCCTGTTATTCCCGGACAACAATGGCTCGATACGCGGACGAAGAAGGGCAAAACAGAGACAGCAGATGGATGGCAGGTAACTCAGAGATTCCTGGCTACCAAACGTGTGTCTGTTACGTTTGCTATCTTCACGGGAACGTTTTTGCGCGGTGTTTCTTGGCTACTTTCGTTGGAGACGATACAGAGTGCTGGTAAAATTGGGCAAAGAGTTGAAATATTTGAGTGTAGGCGAAAAAGAAGTCGAGTGATCGGGTGCCGGGAGTCGGAGTCGTTTTTTGGATGACTGCTTTGATCAAGTTAGCTACCCGGGCAGTCGAGGATTGTGCACACAGATGGTTTTCGAGATCGATTACTTACACTCATGTTTCGTACACTGAAATAGAAGAATTGATAGAGGTGTAGGATCCGGGGAGGGCCTTGGGCTTTATTAGTGTGTACTGTCTCAATTTGGTTCGAGTTCGGTAGCTTCTAATTTCGACTCAGAGTTATTGGTTATTTATTTCTAGGGAGGAATTGATATGTTACAAATGGTAATTAACGTACAATGAACGTTTGTATTTTTCTACAATCGAAGAAGTTGCCGTTAGTTATCAATGTTATCCTTTTAAGACGATCTTGGAACAGTCTCAACTCGATACGACTTCGACTGAACGTCACTGATTAATAATAATAATCAGTGATTATTTATATCTGTTATAGAGAAAAATTGAGACGTTGTATACGGTAATTAACATTTGAATTTTTCGTTGTTATACTTCTGATCTGCTGAAGTAGAATAATACGTGTTACACTCTGCCTTCTGCAGTTTGAGCAGAACCTACATTGAGTGATCGAATTATTAGAACCACTTGGATAAATTGACGATTTTGCGATTTTAACTAAGTAAGTTGTTTTAGGTTTAATTTTTGTGGTGTATTTTTAGCGAACAATTGTGAATTAAAAATTATTCATTGTATAAATCTTGATATTGTGATTTTATTCAATACAAAGAAACATATTGTTCATACTGTGGCTCTAATAATTTGATCACCGACTGCAAGTGGATCTTCTGTTTCGTCGTGTCGATTCTCGTATTTCTACACCTGAACCTTGATTTGCAAAATATTCGAATTGCACGGTTTCCGTTGAATGTTCTCAGAGAAACGCAACGAAATTTCAGATATTTCGTGTATTTAAGCGGACACAAAAGTCCACATTGAGATTTGCTCAGCCGACTAATTAAAATCTCTAAACCAATCTTTGGTCGGTGACTATTGAACCGGAATATGAGCAGGGTAGACTTCCATAGCGAACCGTCGCGCACAATGCATACCAGTCTCATCGTGTCATTCGACCCCTGATGAAGCTAGCCGGGATGACGATGGCGAAACGTTGGAATAAGTGTCTGCAAAAGGACACAACGGGTTTGTTGCTCGGACACCGAATGCCGGGTCATTTTCTCTTCGCTATTATTTAATAAATTATACGAAAAGAATGCTGACAGCAACATTCACTGCGAAGAATTTTTTTCGATGTTTGCATATACAGGGTGTCCAAATTAATATAGATCGCTTCTACGTTATTATTGGCGATACAAGAAAATGGTAATAAAGGGAAAATTTAGGTTAATTTTATGGTTTATTAAACACTTAGATCATATTCTTGTTTATTTCGAGATTATTGTTAATTTTTCCGTCCTTTAAAAGAAATTGAAAATAATGAAATATTTCGAGATTCAATGCATTCAATGACATCTTCCTTTATGAGGATATGATAGTTGATCTAATAATGAAATTTGTTTTTTACAGTCATCCAAAGGTTCAATTTGTCTTGTGGTGTGTTTCAACACAGTGTGATACAGAATATATAGATCCATTAAAAAGCAACAATAACCTCGAGATTTGCGAAATATAATTTTGACATAATCGTTTTGTCAACCATAATATTAGACTTTCCGAACTGCAACATTATCTTCAACCATATTCTTATAACTGAAATACGTGGTGAGATTTTGGATCGTCACATTACCTGAGACAGCCTGTACATACGGTCACATACGACAATAACTTAACACTTCCCCTAAATTGTTTGAATTTACAAAAAAAAAATGATGAATCCCGTAGTGCTATGAGACAAGACGTTCTTCTGTTTTTTTTTGTCATTTACTGGAGACGCACCAGCGTGATCAGCAATTATTTCAGAATTTTTATTTTGTCGAAATGTTATATTAAATACGTCAACTTACTTTCCGAGGTGACTGTACATTTAATCTTTATTATGGGTCAAAATGGGTTCGACGACTATGTCGCAGCCCGATCATGCAGCATTCGGGTATCAATGGTCGAGATACTACTGATGGGTCCATGAACAAACAATTCCAAACATGTTGGGTGCCTTATGAACACGAAGGGTTTGAACAGTTCAACTCTAGTTTGATCTTGGCAAGGCGTTCAAACTGCAGGTGATGCTCAAATTTTTCAAACAGTTTAATAAAACGTTTCAAACTTCAAGCTGAAGCTACTCTAAACTTTTCAAAACAGTTTCATAAAACGTTTCAAACTTCAAGTTGGAGCTGCTCTAAACTTTCCAAACAGCTTAATAAAACATTTTAAACTTCAAGCTGAAGCTGCTCTAAACTTGTCAAACAGTTTGATGAAACGTTCCAAACTTCAAGCTGGAGCTGCTCTAAACTTTCCAAACAGTTTAATAAAACATTTCAAACTTCAAGCTGAAGCTGCTCTAAACTTGTCAAACAGTTTGATGAAACGTTCCAAACTTCAAGCTGGAGCTGCTCTAAACTTTCCAAACAGTTTGATGAAACGTTCCAAACTTCAAGCTGGAGCTGCTCTAAACTTTCCAAACAGTTTAATAAAACATTTCAAACTTCAAGCTGAAGCTGCTCTAAACTTGTCAAACAGTTTGATGAAACGTTCCAAACTTCAAGCTGGAGCTGCTCTAAACTTTCCAAACAGTTTGATGAAACGTTCCAAACTTCAAGCTGGAGCTGCTCTAAACTTTCCAAACAGTTTGATGAAACGTTCCAAACTTCAAGCTGGAGTTGCTCTAAACTTTCCAAACAGTTCGTTTCAAATTTCAAACTCAAAACGCTGTAACTTTTTCAAACAGTTTAAAATATTTCCTCGACCCGTTTAAAAAGGTTTACAGTCTTTCGAGCTTAAGGTTTGAATTGTTTCATCAATCTGTCTTATAAGTTTGAATTCGACCTCGCGATGTTTGAACACGTTCGAACTGTTTGATCATTCACCACTACATGGAAGACGTATACAAGTCGCTCACAATTATTCAGTAAAAATCGATAAAGCGAATGGTAAAAATGTGTCTGGCCAGAACCGTCTCCTCCGAAACGACAGTATCCTTGCGTGCCAACCCGACACTTTGGCACGGTGACACGAGACTAGTCCCCATATCGGTTCCGTTCTCCAACTCCAAATACTTTTCTACGACCCTCGAATCGATAACTCGGGATTGGGCGGGCAGAAAGAATGAACCGATTGCCGGCTGAACCGATTCCCCAGACTGGTCCCATAAAAAACCAATGACTCGGAAGAGGAAAGAAAGAGAGAGAATCGTTCATCATGATCTCGAGAGTATCCTGTCTTACAATAATCCTCCGATCCTGCGGTCTTCGTAGAAAAACCTTAAGACGCATTGGCTGATCGATAACAGCTCTCTCGATCTGCTGCGGCAGAAATTTCTCAATCGTCGCGATAAAAAGATGAAAAAAAAAAACAAAGTTTACAGGCAAGAAGAAGAAGAGGAAATCCACTTGAAGACGCCGACGATACGCATATTTACGATCGCGATTAGACCCTCAAAGCGGCCTACAGCTTCCCATTATTTCATAAGCTTAACGCCATCGCTCTATTTCCCGTATCTTCCAGGGGCGCCGTTTTCGTTTTCTTCCTATCTCCGTCAGATAGCAGGTTACACCCGTTTCATTGTTTTTCTTGCGGCACTAACAGAATACAGCCACGTATGTAGTAGTAGGTACTCCTAGCCCATAGGGCTGTGAGATAGGTTATCGTGATTCACACCTCGATTCTATAAGGTTTCCCTGGAATTCGTCTAATTTATCGGGCCTCTTGCGACGCTCCCGTCATTCCCGTAAATTCCGGTTTATCTACGGATTTCACTTTACCTCCTCCCGCCATCGAAATATTATCCCTTTCTTATCTGGAAGAGTTGCTGGATCTTTTTTTTTTCGGAATTTAGAGCATCGAACGTAGGGTCGGAATTTACAGCGAGGTTCGATGTAGAATGATCTTTTTAGAGAACCAGGTAATTATGTAATATGTACATTTATCGATTGTGAGTACAGTAAGACCTCGATTAAGCACACTGGTGAAAATAAAATATCACTGTTTATTGTACAATATTCTAATGTGTGTGTCGTGTTACCAAAAATCCATTTGAAACATATTTTTACCATGCTTAAAAGTTCCGATAATCGAGGGTTTATTTTATTAGGATACTTATCGAACAGAAAGTGTCTGCATTTGCAGTAAGTAATCCAAATGTTTTGTCAAATTCCACATTTAGTTTCGAAGAGGTCAGGAGCCTATGAATTGAAATTTGTATTCTTTCTTCGATAATGGCTGCCATTTTGGTAGGGGAAGAAAGAAGCAAAAATATGTTTCGAATTCAAACTATGTTAATGGTCTGTTAGGAAGAAGTAATAGATTACGTATTGACGCACCTAATGAAAATCATTAAGAAATTGTTGAACGTCTGAAAAGAATATTGTTTAGGGGATGTCCAAGCTCAATGAATACCACGTATGTTACTTTAAAGTAATAAAAGCATTCAACAATATAGAATATTTTTTATGAAACGTCTTTTTAAAATTGTAAAAAAATGACAATATGTTTAAGAAATATTGTTTAGGGGGTGTTAAAGCTCGCTAGACACTATATACGCTAATTTAAAGTAATAAAAGTGGCCCAAAATGTATAATTTTCTTTTAAATGTCACATTTTCTTCGTACAGACTATATTACTTATAGTAGATACCCATAAATGGCAGTGTAACTGCTCCAAAAATCTCTGATTCCATGGACAGCATCTGGCAAATGTCCTGAAAAGAAATAACGTTCTTTTTGTGTTTCATAAATACAACGATTATGATTTTCGAAATTTTGAAATACAGGATTTCCCGTAATGAAATCGTCATATCAAGTCATGCTTACCCAAGAAGATCATGTACACTGCGGATTTATTTCAATTTTGTTAAAAATTGTGAGAAGAGTAAAAGGAATTAGAAGGGGATGAATAGGGAATGTCACAAAATAGGTTCATTGAGAAAATCAATGTTTAATATTCCAATACTTGTAATACTTCAGTCCACCAGTGTTTAATATTTTCTGATGTAGACATTTCTACTTTGTAACACGTTGTTATATGGCGATTCTGTAGTCCCAGTTGCCACCGATAAAATACGTTATACAAACGTGAAAATCACTGAAATTACTAAAAATGAATATTCCCTATTTTTCCTGCATATTCTTCAAACATTGCATGTACGAAAATCAGAGTAGGATCGATAACGTCATCGTCCCATCAGGCTCATGGAAAAAAAAATCGGTGCCGAATAATCGAGGGTAGAGGATTTGTTACGAGCAGTTAGTTGGAGGCTGCGTGCGTGAAAGGGGGCACGTGCTACCTTTGACCTGCCATAACTGTAATTATGTTTAATGTCATTTCCGCGATGTTAAATACATTATCACCCTTATTAGCGGTGACACTGATTGGCATTACTATTTTTCTCCCTCGAACCGTTTTATGGGCACTTAAATAAAATTGAATGCTTCTGTTCACGCGTTAGATTAGGCTATTTAAAGCGTAACGGAGCAATTAATTGGTAAATAAATAGGTCGAAAAGCTTTGTGCGATTTTTAATAGTATCGATCGACTTGTAATTGTTTCTTAAAGAAATGTTATTTGACACTAGGAAACTATACTCGTGCACATAACGGATTTTGGATTTCTTTATTTTACAATTACTGAACTTGTACAGGAACTTTCGTTTGAATTTATGTTGATCTTTAATTTATTATATACTATAAATTATACTGTATTACGATAAATTGTATTATTCATTACAATAATTCATATATTATTATTACTGTATTATATAATTTAATTTAGTATAATATATATATTCAACGCAAGTAGGGTTAATGTTAAAAACAAATTTATTCTGTTAATCAGTGTTACTTACCGTTGACGTGATGCAATACCTGAAATTTTTATAAATTCTGGACGTTGTTACTTAAATTGTTAGATATTATAAATCAATCGTGAGTACTACATAGTTTGTACGATTAATTTGTCTGTTTATCTTTTCAATTAATCCGTTAATAAATTTGACGTTCATTCTTGCGATTTCGTCACCAAAAATGTAATCTTATAGGATTTCCAATGATCATTCTCCGATACTTTAATAATTTAAGTAACAATATCCATCAGATTTTTCTCTTTTCTTCTAAGTAGTATTCATTAACAACACGAACTCGTTTCTAACTAAATATACTTTCAAAAAGCAGAAATTCCAAACACGTGGACGGTTATTCGGAAAGCATAAGATAACAAATTTCTCATGAAATGAAATTTCAGAGTTTCAAATATAAAATATCAATTTCTTGTCTCCGTTGCCATCGAGATTTCCATTATTCGTTTCCGTTTTAACGCAAACAGCAGACTGCAAATTCCATTTAGGTCGAGCAGGCCGACGGAAAAAGAATGTATTTATCCAGAAATACGTGATCTCCGTTTTTAAATGCTATATTTCATTCGAACGGGTCGTATTTACCCTCAAACATTCGTGCTTCATAGAACGTTGGATCATATTTATTCCGTGTCCGTCTCGATCGTTTCGGGATAATGAAGACGTGGTTTCACGGGGAAAAGTCAATATCGTCCGTGGTAACATCTTTATTGCATCGTGCGTATGGAAATAATAACGGCGGCGGCGAACACTGTAAAAGCTACATTGCGGTCTTTGTTATGGCAGCGGTACGTTCACGGAAAGCAATTTCACGGAATATTCTTGCTGATTTTAATATGTCGCGCCACGGTAATTGTAGTTTATGTGTCCCCTGATAGGTGTGAACGTCCAGACGCATCGATTATAGGGTGTCCATTTTAAATTCTACCATTCAGTCGAATACGTGTGAGAAACTCATGTTCTGTAGTCGATAACTGTACCGAATGTATATGTTTGAAAGTTTCGTACATTAAATATTTCGTACATTAATTATTCATAGATGTAAATATGGAAAAGATTTTGCTATTTTCATCTTATCCTACTTTTTAAATATAAGTAAATGTATTGTAATTAAGGGGAATATTGTTCAGTGAGTAGTAAAATTAATTTATTTATTTGTGAAAAGTGCGGTTTTTAAAAATCTGACAAATGAGTATTGATCTAACGGCTATGGGCTGTGTCATTCATTCACTTGGCTCCGCACACGTGTTATGAGTGCTACTCGTCAGTCGAGCGAAGGTTAGTGGCGTGATAGGATCGTTTTGTTTTGCTGCTGCTCAAAAACTGTTGACGGTATGTAAATTTCATGTACTATTCATATTTATTATCATTTGACCATGCTTGTTTGTTTTTGTTGTTGTTGTTAACATACCTACCTGTGATATTCATAAGTACATATTTGTGAAGTTCTGTGATTTTTTTAAAAAGACAGAATATCGTTTTTTTAACTTTATGAACTTCTAAATATGGAATATAACGGATGGTGCTGGTGCAGAGTTTGACACTTGGATAAGTAATTATTGCAAATAACTATTTTTTATCCCATTTAAAAAAATGTTATTATATAACCACAGTGCCTCAATCAGTAAGATGAATAAAACTATTTTTTGTTTGTTTTTCATGAAAATACTATACCTGATGTTAGTGCTCTATATTTGGGTACCTTTTTCATATTGGGCACAATTTACGTTTATTTAACACTAGAACTACCGACGATAAACGCATATTTGTTTCGATCGGTGGATAAACGTGAAAAACTTTTGAAAATTTAGAAATTTAGAAATTGAGTAATTTCTTCACTTTCATATCGTAATAAAAGATGCAAAAGATCTGAGGTAATGTATTGTCATAACATTTTAATCGTCGTTGTA